TGAAAGGAGTAAAGGCTAAACATCTCATCATCTGCAGTGACTCCCAGCTCGTGGTCAACCAGATCAACGACGAGTATGAAGCATGCGACCCCACCATGGCTGCTTATTTGGCCAAGGTCAGAGAAGTTCTACGCGGCTTCCTATCGTATTTCATCAGGAAGATCCCGAGATCCGAGAACGCTGAGGCCGACGCCTTGTCCCGGTTAGCCAGCACAAGCAGTAACACAATGAGGACAATGTACATAGAGGACCTGCCTCGGTCTAGCAGTCTTGGGGGGGCAGGAGAGGTCACTCCTATAGTGCACGTAGAGCCGAGCTAGATTAACCCACTCACGAGCTGTCTGCTTCACGGGACCCTCCCTGCTGATTGCAATTCGGCCTGAAGGGTAGAGCGCCAATCAGTTAAATACGTCATTATAGACGGACAACTGTACCGAAGATCTTCCATGCTCCCCTACTTGCGCTGCTTGCGACCCTCAGAGGCTGAACTTGTTCTCCGTGACACTCATGAGGACTTGTGTGGTGGACACCTGGGGGGCAGGGCTCTCGCTCAGAAGGCAGTGCGGTAAGGGTACTATTGGCCCACAATAAAGGCAGACGCACTCGAGCTCGTCAAGAAGTGCGATAAGTGTCAGAGTCATGCCAACATCCATCACCGATCTGCTACGACCTCAAATATCTCACCAGCCCGTGGCCCTTCGCATAGTGAGGGATCGAATTCTTAGCCCGTTCCCGCCAGCGACAGGACAGAGGAGATTCCTGATGGTAGCAGTGGATTACTTCACGAAGTGGGTGGAAGCGGAACCCCTAACAACGATCATAGCCTGCAACATACAAAATTTCTTTTGGAGGAATATAGTATGTTGCTTCAGGCTACCTCGAGTACTCATCTCCGACAATGGAAAGCAGTTCGAAGACATCAAGTTTCAAAATTAGTGTGCCGAGATAGGGATACAACAAAACTTTACCTCGATGGCACACCCCCAGGCAAACGGGTAAGCGAAAGTCACCAACAGAGTCATACTCCCAGTCGCCTCCTCGGCATGGGCAGATAAGTCCCAATCGCCTCCTTGGCATGGGCAGATAAGTCCCAGTCGCCTCCTCGGCATGGGCAGACAAGTCCTAGTTGCCTCTTTGGCATAGGCAAATCATCCCCCACGCCTAAGGCATAGACAGTTCGGGTATAAACCCTATGACGTCTAGCCCAGTTCGGCGTATAATAACAGGTTGAACCCGCTAGCTCTAAGGGACAACTGACATCTGAGTAGCCCGTGCACAGATAGGTCGGGTATATACCCTACAATGTCCGCTCACCTCGGCATACATTATATGAAGTTACCCCTATTAGTAGTCCAGCTCGGTAGCTCGACTGTTCGGGGTAACCACTTAAGAAGATTCTATATTCAGTTACCCTTACTTGTTGCCCAGCTCAGTAGCTCGGCAGTTCGGGGTAACCTATATCTACTCCTATTCGGTTAATTCGCCAATTAGGGAGTTTGCACTTGGAACAGTTTTGAACAAAAAAGACTTAAGTCAAAAGTGTATTCCATTAATATAAGAGTTCGGTACAAAAAAAATAAAAAAAAGAGTTCACTACAGACCGAGCTCGAAGACCTAGGGTATACATAGGAAAGATAAGGGAATCTATTCATCTGGATGCTCTTCGTCCTTGCCCGAGGCGTCAACAGGGGGGTCCACACTCTCGTCAACTCCGACCTCTTCCATGCCACCGAGCAGCTCACTGTCACTTTCTGCCTCAGAGTCCAGATCTTCGGCAGCCTCACAGCCATCTCATTTGTGACTCTCGAAGTGGTGATTGCACTCAGGTCGAGCTGCGGGAATTCGCGCTGGGTTAGCCATCTACTGAGCTTGAAGCCCTTGCTATAGCCTTACGTCCCCGCCTCAATTAGCTCTCCATGGAACTCCTCCGAGGTTTTATATTCCTCTACGGCCTTGGTTTTGGTCTCCTCCACTACCTAAAGGAGTATCTCAGTTCGCTCCTTCACAAGGGCCTTAAAGTTTTCTACCTCCCGCCTTAATGCCGCATTCTGCCCCGCGAGCTCGTCCTTCTCAGACATCAACAGTGTAATCAGCTCTTTCTGAGCTCACACATCCTTCTTCAGTTGGCTATTTTCATTGCAGGCCAGGTTTAGTTCATTGTGAGCCTTACGAGACGAGGCCTCAGCGGCAAGAGCCCGCTTCAAGTGTAGTTCGGACTGGTACATCAGAGCATGTACAGCGGAGTTCACCTGCCAAGAGAAGAACAGTAGTTAGTACAAGAAAAGTTCCCTACATAATTGAAGGTGTAAGGACAGAACTTACCACCATACAATGGGTAGCCGGTTGAGCTCCGAGCTGAGCGGCCGACAACTCTGCCCAGTTGGGGACCTCCTCGGCGTATACCATGCTCTTGCTCTTGAGAAGGTTGTACTTTGGAGTCATGATGCTCCAAGTTGCCTCCTCGCTGCCCGAAGATGTGGCAGCCACAGGGGCGAGCTCCAAAGATGCCTCTTCGGGCGCGTGCACGTGGAGGGGGGAGACCTTTCCTGTTTCCTCCTCGACCAGATCGATCACTGGAGGTTGTGTAGCGGATGGCTGCTCGGGCTCAGGGACAGAAGCCTGCGGAGACTCGACGCGAGATCTTTTGGAAGCTCGCTTCTTCTTCCCCTTCATTCTTCCAAGGAGTTCATTCGCAGGGAGTTTCATGGTTGCTGTAACAAAAGAAAAGCGTCAGAAACAGTATCAAAATAAAACAAAGGCAACACAAAAGTAACGGCCTACTAAGACAGACCGGCCTGCACGAGCTTCTCTTCGGTCACATAACCCGCGAACTTGAGACCGAGCTCCGCCTAGGATTGGAGCACTTCCCTTATCTTCAAGTCCAGCCTAACACCGGGATCTTGGATGGCCACCCTCTAGTGGGTCGGGAAAGGCCACCCCTCAGTGTTACGGACCAAAAAGTAGCCCCTTTTCCAGGCCAAGACCTTGTTTGGGAGTTCGTGTAAGAGCTTGTAGCCCGGACGTGGGGACAAGTAGTAAGTCCATTTGTGCTCTGGTAGAACACAGGAGGAGTTCTTCTTTATTGAATGGATGGAAGAAAAAATATCAAGATCAAGGGGCAGGTTATAGTCGTGGAAAAGCGAGATGGTTCCTACTATGTTGCGGATGGAGTTCTGGTGCAACTGATGTATGGTAATGTTGAAGAGTTTAATAACTTCGATAATCAGGGGGTGAAGTGGAAGACAAAAACTAGCTGCAAGTTGCTCCTCGAAGATCACGATCTCGTCGTGATCGTGCTCCCAGGGAAAGTTACCTATCGGAAGACTATAGACAAGGTCGCTCGAAAGCCTATACCGAGCTACTAAGGCCTGGAGCCTGTCCGCTGTCATCGTTGATGGGCCAAAGTTATCTGGCTGTCGACCTCGGTGCGAGGTGGACGCTGGAGGCCTCTTGCGCCTCCCGAGGTGATTCCACCTCAAGAGGATCGTGGACCGCTTCTTGACCCAAAGTAGCTTCTTCGGTAAGGTGATCTACGACTTGAGCCGAGGTACCCACCTCGGCCCCAACGGATTCACCGCTCTCATCTAATAGACTATCAAAGCTAAAACTAAACATGAAAATGACAACTGAATTAGAAAGGAGAGCTAGGGAAGACTCACCAAGGAGAGACCGAACTGAAAGAAGACACCGAACTGGAAGAACCGAGCTAAGGAACTTGAATGCGACCTCAGATCGAAGGCTAGTGAATTTATGGCGAAACAAATGAGTCTCGGGCCCCCTATTTATAGCTGCTATGCCCGAAAATCAACGATCGAGATCGAAGCAATCCAACGGCTCCTAGGAAAACTGGCTGCGCGATCCCCGAGGTTGAAATCGGTTTAGCGCATTTTTTGACGTCTGTGAAGTTTATAGATCGTGTGACGTCCGCGCGTAAACTAGACTCGACCTGGGCTATCCTGGTTGAGCCGGGCATCCGAACAGGTCCAACCAGCGATTCACCCGACAAGCTGCCTGGACCTCGGGCCAAATCCACTTGGACTCATCCTGAACTCCCTGCACCGGGTTAAGACACCTGGCTCGAGGAGTGGGGGGCAATTGATGAAGGGTGATTTGGCCCGACCTAGTAAGGAGGGGACACGTGGACACGACCTGACCAAGAGACGACAACTCAACCTAACACGACCAGTTTGCAGTAAGACCGAGCTCGGATGTTCAACCACCTGGGGATAAGGTGACCTTGGGACACCTCGGACGAGATCACCTTGATACCATATCACAACAGATCACTTCGATCCCAAACCACTTCGGCATTCAACTCAGTTCGGAACCTAAAAGCATCAGCTTGGGGATACCAACTCCGATCTACCACGTGGTGACCCCGGAAATCCCTCCAACGGATTCCGAACCGCCCGGGATCACTCTACGTAACAGCTAGCATTATCTCCTCCCCTTCCAATTCGGACGGAATTGATAAGCCTTATCAGTTGACAACGTTATCCCTTAATTAACGAAGAGGCGGATCTCATCGTGACTAATATCCTAGAACTGATCCGCGAAACCCATGAGGACTCAGCTATATAAAGGCTCCGACCCCGAGGGCATAAGGTACGCGTGATTTCTCTGCTCTCTAGCTCTCTACATTCTTAAGCTATTTCAGCTCGCAACAAGTACTAATTTAAGTATCGGAGCGATCTCGCCGGATTAATCACCCCAAGTTCTCCGATCGTCCTCTTGCAGATCAATCTAGTCCGTCGTCTGACTGAAAGCTAAATCACCTCCAATAGGGAGCAGCTAGATCGCGCTACATCATTCCGTTTCCCCAGAAGTATAACTAAAACTTTCTTCGGTTTAACGTATACGTTTGATTATCACTATTATGAAGTTGATGCCGGTTGACTGGTTTTCAGTTTTCAGGTATCTATGAGACTATGATGCATTTCGGGTATTACAGGAATCGATACGTAAGCCTCTGCGGTTATTGTTAAAATTTGAAAAGCAAAACCAGAAAAAAGATTCTAATATTGGCAAAGCAAGATTCCATTGTCATATGAATGAATACAAAAAAAAAAAGTCTGTGAGATAAAACAGAAATCTTGCGTTGACAAATATCTTTGAATCGTCCAACAATGGAGATGGGGGTTCGCAACAGAGAAGGCTCAAGGAATTGCAAGCAACATCATTCGCTTAAACTCCTCAAAATCGAGAAGCCCATCTGAGTTGATGTCAAATTCACGAATCATGCTCCGACAATTGTATCCGCTCTTATCTTCCCAGAGCCCCAGTCTGGACAACACACACTGAAGCTCCTCAGAAGAGATGAACCCATCGTTGTTCAGGTCGAAAACCTTGAAAGCCTCGAGCAGATCGCTCTCCTCACCCCGCCCCACGTCGTCAGCCTCCACCTCGCACCGGTCGGCTATCTTCTCGTAGAAGAACATGAATTCCTGCAGGTCAAGTCTCTCCTGCCCCACGATTGATTCGAGCTCTTCGGGGCCGGTCCGGACGCCAATCTTGTCGAGGAGCCACGCGATCTCCGCGAGGCTGACGTAGCCATCGTCGTTCTGGTCGAGCTTGTTGAATATCCTCTGCAAGTCGTCAGACTTGAGGCTGGACATGTTGCAAGAGTCATCAGTGGATCAAACCAATTCCAATCCTGTGAACAGATCGTTGCTCCATGAGAGATTATATAAAGAGAGAGCAAGATAGCGATAGGAGATTCAGAAATCGTTAAGAAATTTCAAACGTATTTGCTTGTACGGTAGTTGTACGAAAAAGAGAATGGAAACAGAAGAAATGGAAGAGGTTGAAGTTTGAAAAAAACTGCAATTCTGCAACTGCAAGGAAGGAGGGGAAGGAAGAAACTTCAGAGCATGCGCAGCGAAAGAAGACCGAAAGGTTTTTTTTTTTTTCTCTGTTTTATCGGGCTAATCCTTAATTGTTTTCTTAATTAGTAAATGAGAAATGTGTGGTGGATGAGTTAAGACATGGAGATTGGAGAAAAGGGGAGTTCGCATCTGCTGACAATAGCACATTGATGTTGCTGGCCACGTTCATCCAGCCGCACATCGAGAGCATCCATCACCAATATTCCCGATGTGTAGTTGGAGAAACGTGGCCAGCAAAGGTGCTGTGGTCAGCAGATTTGGAACGTGGATTGAACAGAGATGAGTCGGACCCTGGGGTCAAAATTGGGCGTTCTTATTGAGGGCTCATTTGGGAGGGCTGAAGCTTTGATTAGTTGTAAGCTGCTTTGAAGAAGCTACATACTACTTGGAAAAAGCTTTTAATGGAAAGTCGTTTAAAAGGAATAGAATTTTTGTGGTATGGAGCTATTTAAGCTCATCCACAACCGATTTAGTTAAGCTCACCCACACAATTTTTGCTTATATGTTGTTTGGGTGGAGCCTGCCACACAAAGCAAAAGGCACAATTGGATTCATTCCTCATACCGTGCTTATAGCCTTTTGCAGCTGCGGGAACATCTCTTTATTTATATGTTTTTATTAATGGAAAGATATTCTCAATATACAGCTCCAAGTGGCTGTGAGAATAATTTTGTGAGGATTAAATCCGATTTTGCAAAAAAACACCACATGAAAGCCCTTCCAAATGGGCACTTAATTCATTATCCTTCTTTTTTTTTAAGACACTATCCTTATATGCGATGTAGATAGCTGATGTAGATAGCGTATAAAAAATCTATATGACATTTGTTATTGCCATAAAATGTGTACATGTTTTACACATCAAATCTATGCTATTTTAAAAAGTAAGAATGGCGGGTAAAATACAAAAGCCTCTCTGAAGTTTTTGACAATCATAAAAACATTCCTTATAGTTTAATTTAACAAATACCCTCCCCTAAACTTTTGAGAAACTCAACAAAAACCTCCCTTTCGTCACTTTCTCAAACGGAATATGTTAGATTGATGCACTATTTTTTCCAAATACCCATTCTATCCTTTTATAAATTATTTTACATACAGAATTACTGAAACAACCCCATTTTAACTCAACAAAAACCTCTTTTATGATCATTTCAATCATTTTACATACAAAATTAATGAAATATGTTTTTTTAGTTAAATGGGATTACTTCAGTAATTTTGTATGTAAAATAATTTATAAAAGGGTAGAATGGATATTTGAAAAAAAATTGGTGCATCAATTTAACGTTTTTCGTTTGGGATAGTGACGGAGGGAGGTTTTTGTTGAGTTTCTCAAAAGTTCAGGGGAGGTATTTGTTAAAATGAAACTATAGGAGAGGTTTTAATGATTGTCAGAAACTTCAGGGGAGGTTTTTGTATTTTACCCGGCCTCAAAAATATTTCAGAAATTTTTTGAATACAAAATGTACCCCTATATATTTAAATTTATTCATAAAAATGAGGGAAAATAGGGTAATCAGTTATTAATATTAAATGGGTTGAAAAGAGGTAATTTTAAGATATTCAATGCATTTAATTCCATTCCTCTCATTAAATCCAACATTTAAGTTATTAACTTGCATTCATGTTCATTGAATCATATATTTAAGTCATTTTTTTCTTTTTAAGATCTCATCATTAATTTCTATTAATTAAAACCATACTTAATAAATTAATAATTCCAATAACATAAAAGCTTATGCCTTTAAAATCTATGTAGATAAAAATAGTGTTTTCATCTAGGTGGTGGTAAGAAATTAAACCATTTTGAGTCAAATGGGTCAATCCATGTTGTCACGATTAAATACCAAAATTCAAAAATAGATAAAATGAAAAAAATTAGAAATTAAAAAAAATGAACATTTTTAACATGCGTATTAAACAATAGTAAGTATGATAAATAAGAAATATTTTTATTAATGATGATGGAATGTAACATTTAATTGGGAATAAAAATATTTTCCTATTCTCTCTCATTAAATCCTATGTTTATGATAACTTTTTCTCATCATTAAGTTCTTGTAATGAAATCCACAATATTAATTTTAATAATATAAAAATAAATATTTTGAAAATTAATTTGGAAACAAAACCATTTTCTTCCCTCCCGGTGGTGGGCAAGTAATTTGGCCATTTGAGGTCAAATGGATTAATAAATAATACCATAATTAAATAATAAAAAATTAAAATAAATAAGTATAAAATGTAAGAATTATTTTTATTAATGATGAAAATGGAATGCCAAATTTAAAATCTACCTAAAAATGAATGATATCATAATCAAATAATAAAATTTTGAAAAATAGAAAATCAAAAGAATCACAAAAATAAAAAAAAAAAGATAGAGAAGAATTTGGGCACATATCTAATGTTATATATTTATAAAAAATAAAATATTGGGTAAATCTATAATATTATGCATTCATTATATTGAACAAAAATAAGTATTATAGATAAGAAATAATTTTATCAATGATGGAAATATAATACAAAATTTAATGTAAACGTAGACATCAAACTATTTTTCTTTTTGGGTGGTGGGTTAGTGGTTTGGGTCAAATAATATCATAGAGAAACAAAAATTAAACTGGTTGTACATTTAAAATTAGGTTGCAAGTTGGTCTAGAAACCAACAAAACTCTGACATCTGGCTCTACATTTCGAATTATAGAAACCCCCTCCATGTCATCGGAGGCTTATCTGGCTATTACCAACATTGGATTCTTAATCCATGTTGGACACAACAAAAGGCTTATATCATAAATAGGTTTTTAGTTTCTCTCCTGCTCTCTATGTCTCTCCCACTCTCTCAGCTTTGGTCTATAACCAAATCAAAATCTCTCTCTCTCTCTCTCTCTCTCTCTCTCTCTCTCAATATCTCACATTCTTCTCCCTCTCAGTCAATATCTCCTTCTCCCTCAGTCTTTCTCTCACTCCCTCTCTCATTCTTTTTTTATTTTTCTTACAAACTTATACAATATTAATTAGATATTATAAAAAAAACTAAAGGGACCAACCACTTAAATAGTCAAGTTATAAATTTCTATCAAGTTGGTGTAAATTTCATAGCCAAGAATTTCTTGTGAATTTTTATCAAATTGGTATAATGATTTTTGAACCATACTAAGTTGGTCTCATGTTTTCTTATACTGTCTAAATAATACCGTATAAGTGTGTAAAAAAAAAACAATGAGAGAGGGAGTGGGAGAGAAACTTAGGGAGAACAATAGAAATTAAGGGAGAAGGAGAGATCGACTGTGACAAAAAATGAGAGAGATTGAGGGAGATCAATAGGTAGAGAGAGATAGAGAGAACGAGAGAAACTGATAGAGAAAATGTAAATATCGAAACCGAAAACCGTTTTTATTTAATTTCAAATCAAATAGTCATTGAGTAGAGAGAGATGACTGTGAGTGTGAGAGAGTGGGGGGGGGGGGAGATTGGAAGAGAAATTTAAAACCTTTTTTTTTTATTTTCCAATCACCCAACATTAAAGGGCAATTTTAGTATAAGATTTTTGTTGTGTCCAACATGGATTAAGAGTACCATTTTGGCAACGGCCACATAAGCCTATATAACATGGCAGTGGTTTTTATAATTTGAAATGTAGAGCCGGTTGTCAAAGTTTTGTTGGTTTTAGGACCAACCTGTAGCCTAATTTTAAATGTACAACCCACTTTGACTATAATTTTTCTAATTTAAAACTAATCACAAAGCAAAGCTATTTTCTTATCTAGATGGTGGGTCAATGAGACAACTTTTCAAAGAAACCCATAATGTCATAATTGAATAATAAATATTTAAAAAATGATAGAACACCAAAAATGAAAATGTATAGATTTTGTAGAAAACATTTGAGAACATTTCTAATGTTATATATTCATCATGTTAAATAAAAATAATTGTTAAAATAAAAGTTATTTTTATTTATGATAGAAATGGAATACAAAATTTAATAATAATAATAATAATAATGATAATAATTGTTATTTGTTACATGCATTTAAATTTATCTTTAATCATATTATTACTTTTGTTAATTTTCAATTTCTATCTTAACTATGATATATCTAAAATTCAAGTAATTAATATAAATAAAATTTTCTCACGCAATGCATGTGCTTAATTACTAATATATTAAAGGAAAAAGGTTTTCAATCTAATTTATTGAGAAGTTACTAGTAAAGCCCACAACCTACTACAACCATTCAGATATAATATAATCTAATTTTAGGAGACAAATTTCAAAAATTCTGTTGCAACCAACTCATCCCCACTCTCATCCAAAAATCTACATTCTTATTCAATCTACTCACAATCTATCAGTTTCAAACTCTAAATTCTAATCCAGTCTCCATAGTCTTTGCATACGATCTTCTCCGAATCTGTAATTTCTCAGAGCTTACAAGAAGTTCACTTCATTGGAATTTTTACTTAGATGTTTTTAACTTCAACCACTTAGGTTAGTTTTACATTTCATCTCACTTTATGTTATACGTATAGAGTTTCGAGTTTCAATTTTGGCAAACATGTTTCAATTTTGTGTTTCATTTATTTTATCACGTTGAACTCTATTTTCTCAATCTTTGTCTCATGAATCCTATCTCATGAAAAATATATGTTAAAACATTTATTCCAACGAACTCATCAGCACCCCTGCATCGAAACTGGAACCGAGAAAATTCTGTGTGACCGCTGGTGGCCAGGAGGGGCATAGCAGGTAGCAATAGTCGGCTCTGTTAAAATTTAGCCCAAATCGTGACCTGAGAAGACAAGGACCTCTGAGAAGAAAACCATACGTTTTTGTTTTTACTACCGGCGACCAACAACTGCTATTATAATGTATATAAGATCGCCGACCATCGGTGATCAGTTATGGATTGCCGCCGGTGGACGGGAAGGTCATATGAAGGTAGAATACGGCGGCTCTGTTTACTGTTATTGCAAATCCATGCCTGAAAAGAAGGTAG